ATACGTATACATTGAAATGCTGGTAGTCGAAGTTTAAGACGGCATCGGGCGGAGTCGAGGGTAAGCGTAGTAAGAAGATTAAGTAACTTTCTACTTCGTGCCCCGGGTCTTACGAAGGAAAGACTAACACCCAGCAGAGAAACTGATAATGACAGTCGGCCGTGTATTAAGCGAAACATCCGCGAAATCGAATTAATCCCTCTGTACTCCATTTTATTATCAGACGTTAATCCCGGCTAAAGTGGAGAGTCGTGTCTGACTAAGTAAACGCGTTACCACTTGCACTTTAAGGCGGCCCGAAACTTGAAACGCGAATGTCGTTGCCTAATAGTATCGTGTTACGCGTATCCTGCATTTGTACAGTTTCTTCCTTGAAAGAAAGAAATGTATTATCATATTCAACATTCGTCGTAATTACGCAAGCTGCGTGAAATAATAAAACTGCTATTTATTCACGTAGTTATACATATAAAGCGTAATTTCCTAAAGCTAACGAGATAAAAGCGGCTCGCGCTTTATATCAAATTTTTCTGTCACACCAACGACAACGAGTCAATTAAACTCAATGAATAGACTTTCTGAATGTACTCCATCACATATAAATGCAGAACTTGAAAAAGCAGTCGCGCGTTCAAGATCTCTCAGTGACAGTCGAAATCCTCCGATTCATTGAAAAAATGATGTGAACAAGAGAGAGAAGGAATTTCACAATGAGGATTTTTCTGAATTACGAAAATTACGAGTGAGTAATTAGCTCTCAGTTCCAGTCAATTAAACTTCGCCCGTTTGCAAAATGGGCGCGCGAGGTCTGTTGGAAAATTCCGAAAATGCGAAGAAACTTCCGCGATGGACGCGAATCTTTATTGCCTACCCCCCCCTCATTGTGTAACGTCGTTATCGGCGAAATAGCTGGGATGCAAAGTCGTCGGGGATATTTATACGTCGGTTTATCAGTCGCAGTTAGTCCAGGGCGAGGTACCCGCGGGAATGCCGCACACGTAAAACGGGAACAGCTTCGGGATATAGCCGAAGAAGCGAGAGCGAATCGCAGGGCACGAGCGTGCCGCGAGTTTTCTCTGTCGCGCGTTTTCTCTCGGCGAACGCCATGGAGGAGTCTGAGAGACTCCTACGCTCCGGCGATACGTTGGAAAGTACCGGGAGAAAATATTTCACAAGAAGATAAATCTTAGCCGATCCCACGAGGAACGAGCACGCGCAACTAACTCGGGTGGATTAAGTTCCGCGATATCGCCCGGGGGTTTCGAATGAGCAACAAATGGACATAATCAGGTTGTACCATGCCATTCGTTGCCCTACGGCACAGCCGCTGCATTACGTTGCCGGTATTACGTGGGGACTACGTAGACGACCCGCGATGTCCCGCACGACCGCACGTCGTACAGTAGATTTCATTTCACGGCATCCCGCATCTTCGTTTCGACGTACATTAAAGTTCGATGGCGGGCGGCGAAAAGTTAGGCGGCACGCGGTAATTGCGCCGCGCGCTCTACGCGTGACTTCGCATCCGTATGCGTCCGCAGTTTAAATTGCTGCCGTATACCTATGGAGCAAACTCCATTATACGCGGGTCTGTTTGAAAAAAAAAGTGAGAGCTAATGCGTCAGGTGTATATATTTTTTTTCATCCGAGAGATGAAGTATCTTATTTAAAATAATCTTATTTTAATTTTAAACAAGAAATAAAGCACAATATTTTCCTCATTTTCTGAATTTTTGATATTAAGCTATCTATCGCTAATAAAAGAAGAAAATAATTTTTTTTTCATCCGTTGTAATAATCTCTTGAAAAATAAAAAGATGTTACTTATTGCTTTCTATATTTAATTCTATTCTAAAGATATATATTCATAGAGCTGTCATGTGTCGCATTTCTTGCACGGTAATCTTTCTTCAGTTTTCTGCGTATCCTCGAGAAGAAACTCGCGTATAAAAGTTTCCTTTTCTTTCAAGGCAAATTCCGTGTGGCGGACTTGAACGGTGTAGCGTGCAGACATGCGAGCGCGCGTGCAAATATCATTTATTTTATCTTTTATTACATAGTTTGTCCTTTCATATGATAAAATCGCGGTCGAATCCATCAAATCACGTGACGTATCTCCCACATGCAACTATCGCGAGATCACGATGGGTCATAGGGCGATCTATCAATTTGCCGTCGAGAGACCGCCAAGGAAGGAAGAATTTAGGAAAAAGGGCGGGCGGTTCGCCTGCCTTATCCCATGGGAGATGGCTCTCCGTTGGAAAAGAGCATAGGAACAAAGAGGATACTTTATGGATGCTTCTTCAGAAGTGAAGTCTCATCTAAGGCAGAGCTTCCCGCTCTGACGATGCTAAGTAGAATATCATGTTTGGCGTATGAACGACTATCTCGGGTTATTAAAACAGAGTGCGATTTCATTTGTTCGACTCTCGACTCTCCTTAAACAGAAATCTCTAAAGAGATTTTACTACTTGTCATGTTAAAAATTTTAATCGTCAAATAATTAATCATCATTCTTGAACAAGCGATTTCGATAATTTTTTCCTTAATTACGATGTTTAGAAATGTTCTAAAAAATACATTATTTTGTGAAATTAAATATACATGTTACTTCGAGGTGGAAAGATTCATTTTAGAAGCATGTACCATGCTAGGAAAATTGAATTAGCATAGGGATTGACGTTGTGTATCACAGACTGATGCGACGCCAAATTGAATTTGAAATGAACACGCGCGAGTAACTGCGTTTCGTACAATCATCTGTCAATAACGTAAACGGTTTGCAAAGTTTAAATTTTAGAGATGCATATCGCAATTAAGTGAATTTTTTAATTTGAACATGACAGATTTTCTAATGTATTAATTTAGAATTGAGACTTATTTATTGTTAATGAAGAAATATTGAAGATTATTTATTGCTTTCAATTTTCGACATTCGAT